TAAATTGTATTGAGGAATTTATTCAGTGATGAAGGATTTTAAGTTCGTAGATTGTACTGATATGTGTTGTGTGTTGCAGTTGTTTCCAAGTATATTTTGAAAGCATAAATGAACGCGTTTAAGGCAAAGTTGTTGGATGATATGGACGCAGAATTTGGAGTTGATACAATGATTGAAGACGAGAAGAAACGAAGGGCCGAAAATATTCAGAAGAAGAAACGTCAGCAAAAAGTTAGTCGTCACTGCATATATGATGTTATGAACTGAGAAGAAATTTCGTTGAATGGATAGAGAAAAATCCGTGTGATCGCAGAAAGGTTTATGAAAGATATTCTGAAGTTTGATTATCTTTCAGCAGAAATCAGATACGGCTGGCTTAGTGGTAGGACACTCGAAGGAGGATTTCCTCGAAGGCAACGAAACTGTTCTGGTGCTAGAGGATCGAGGTTGATTAGCTTTTGCTTGTTGTTTGTTTTCTTTTTTTTGGGTCATAATCCCGATCGCTGTAGATCACTTTATCAATTGTAAGCAGTCCTCAGATAACCTTCGAAATTTGACAGTTTTATATTCGTATGGCTCAAGAGTTTCTTATCGATGATATTGTATTGATACTGATAACTTTCTGATCATTACAATACACTACTGCTATGTCTGCCATATTTTTGACTTGATCTGGTCAGATTCGTCATATCAGGCAACAATATTATCTCTTCTTAAACGATAGCTCCTAGAAAGTTTATGCGACATCTGAGAGTGATTTGGTATGATCATATGTTTTTGTTGTTCATAAATAATGTTGAAAGTTGGGTAGATTATTTTGTGAATTTGTTTTGAAATATGTGAATTTAAGATGTGCTGGCTGAGGGTGATGAAGTTTTGGTGAATCCGAATATTGTTGATAATACGAAATACGCGAAGAATGCTGAATTGAGAAAGAAGAAGGGTTCATATCAACCGTACCCAGAGGAATCGCTGGATGATTACGGAGTGGTGAGCGATTCGAGTGTTATCAAATTTTATTCCACCTGTTTGAGTATTCATTTACCGAATTTTTGGTTTCGTGTGCCCTTTAAATTTTGACTTGAAGTGAATTGAGTATGACTTTCGATCGAAAATAAAAGTTTTCGTGGGACTACCGAGAAAAGAGACGGGAATTTCGGCGCGTGATCGTTGAAATAAATTGGTCGTAGTGATGAATTCAAGAAGTTCTAGTCATGAAAGTATTTGTGGGTGTTTAATTACAGCAAAAGGCGAAAACTGTACTGTCGAAATATGATGAAGAGTTGGAAGGTGAGGAACGACAAATGTTCCGATTGGATGAAAGTGGTGAGGTGGACCTGGAGAAGGAACGTCAGGAGATGTTGATACGAAAGAATCTTATGATGGCAAATAAACGATTAGAATCTATCGAGAACCAGAAATATAGAGTTGCGAGTGAATTCTATACAGCGGTACGCTTCTGGTTGATGGCTTTATTGCGATTATTCTTTATTCGTTGCTTCATTAATAGGTGTAGAAGATGCGAAGAGCAAAACGATATCTAGATGGTGTATTTGAATTCTTTTGCAAAGGGATAGATCAGTCGATTAACTGTGGAAGTTTATACGGAAGACAATTGATTAAGCTTATGACTAGCCTAATTTTCATGATTCAGCAAAATTTTTGCTAAGCTTCATTTCGTGTTCCAGGAAGAGATGATATCATTCCGACGACCAAGCAAGAAGAAAGATGGCAAGAAATTGAGGAAACGAAAAGTGAGAGTGTTAAGAGCTGATGATCTGGTACCGGAAGAGACAACACAAGAGGATGAAAAAGCGAGGTGGGTTTGTGACGACAGTTGACTGTGTGCGTAGAATTAATGAGGTGGTACTCGATGGAGAGTGGTTTTATTGTTTTTAATAATGGAGTGGTGTGATATGGTTAAATGTGAGCGATATTGTTGTTTGCATTAGACTTGATGATAACATTTCGAACTTTGTTGTGCCATTCGGTTTCGAGCAAAACTTTTTGTCAGTTTCGAGTGAGAGTTTCGATCAAATTGATCGTTTCTTATACAGCTAATGGCTTGATCTTTAAGGGCATTAAGACTGGCTGCTCATAAAGTGGGATCTTTGGCTCATAAAGTTAAGCAAGAAACGGCAGCTGAGGTAGAC